GTATAGATGGAGCTCTTTAGCTCTAGTCTCCTCCATTCTCCTATAAATGCCCTGCACACTACAGGGGTCCTGACCTATCTTCCTCCCATTCAACCTTCCTCGCTCTCGGCTTCCTCCAGTCTTTGGGGATAAGCTATAAAACACATCATCTTACATCTGGTTGGAATTCTATATGATGCCATACATCCCAACCAGAAACAGAGGGAGCTAGTAACCACAAAAGTAGACTCGACTGAGTCTTTATTAGACCACTAGTCTTCACTGGGCATTATCCTTTAAAGAGACAGACACACCAAAGGAAGAACATGATCAAAGTCTACTTAAGTTTTAAGTTACTCCTGAGAAGTACTGTGTCCTGTAGGTTTTACTTCTATTAACTCCTAGAGGTTTTAAATAAGTCATTCACCCTCCATAAGCCAATGGACACCAAAAGATTTAGAGCTGGAACCATAAAAGTCATACAATGCAACTCCTTCATTTTAGAGATGTAGAAACCGAAGCCCAAGGAAGCAAAGTGACTTAAGGTCACATAGTAAGTGACAGAAGCAGTATGTGACTCTGAAGCCTGTGCTTTACTCTATTACTACACCTAATACTCTATTACTACACCTCGCTGCATGCTAGGCTTGGAGTCAGGAAGACTTATCTTCATGAGTTCAAATCTGGGCTCAGACAATAGCTGTGTGACCTTGGGCAAGTCACTTCACCCTGTATGCCTCAGTTTCCTCATCTGTGAAAAGAGCTGGAGAAGGAAATGGCAAACCACTCCAGTATCTCTACCCAAATGGGGTCAAAAAGAATTGAATGGGACTGAGCAACACCAAGCTGCCTCATAGGAAGAGTGATAACCACTATATTCTTGGTGAAACATTGTGAAGAAACTAATGATGCCTAAAAGCTTTGAATTTCTAAAAAGAAAGGTGTTAAATATATGCAGCACATTCCCAAGACCTCTGTGGTTTCTACACTTCCCTAAGAAAAACTACAATAAATCTAAATAAATCTACGTTCTCAGCTTTTACTGAAAACACTGTTTCTCTACAGTAACATGACTTTACTTTCATTTCTCCTCTGTACCAGTCTTCTTTCCTTTCTCAGTACACTATCTTTTCCACTCAGCAATAGCACGCTTTCATTCACTAAAAACTGAAGCGGAAGAGGGGAGGGAAATCTCTGTTGTTATTTAGGCTAGCTAAACTACTGGCATTTTCACCACTTTTTCCACCTACCAAGGTGGAAACTTGAAATGTCAGACTGGCCATGGTGCACTGAAGTCTCTCCATCAACATTTCCTCACATCATGTGGAGACCTGAGTAGGTATTAATTGGCATCAACTGAATGGCTACAAATATTCATTTAATGTCATTCACATATGTTCAACTAAAGTGCCTAGCTTTTCAGCATGCTTCCTCCTGACTCCATTTCACTGATTTTTGGCATTGAAAACCAACCATTTGTTTCTGTGGCCTCCCTTTCCTCGCTCCCTGTTCATTTATCTCAATGGAATAACACACAAATACTGTAAGCCCTGCTGAGGGCCCTTTCTAACTTGTATTTTTTCCAAATAACAGGACTGGGGAGACCAGTTTCATGATTGGGGGCAAGAAAAGAAAAGAAACACTGTGTACATATTCTATACAACCTGGAGTTCTAGGCCATATGAAGAGATTCTCATCTCTAATGCAGTCCTTGAAAGTTAGTGACTTACCATAAAAAAAAAAAACTTTCAAAGTTTATTAGATAAAACCTGTGACAGAAAGAAAAAGCAAATACCCCCAAAAAGCTTATCTGGGTTTTTTTAATCTTTAATTTTCTGTAGACAGAAAGTAGTGACAGAAGGTAAATGTTATGTCTGCCTCCTTGCTAATAATGAGGCTTACTGGTCAAAGACCTCATCCTCAATGTCCTAACCCCAAAGCAAAGTAAACCATTTTTTTCAAAATGTTTATGAGGTGGGGAAATGCCACAATGAGTCACCATTAAAAGAGCCAAATTCTACCCTTAGATGTATGCAGGAAAAGTACTAAAGTCAACATGAGCTGCAGACATTCATCTGAGGGTAGAATTTGGCTCAGGAATCGTGGGCTCCTTTTACATAGACCTTTGCTGTCTGACTGTTGCCTCTGTGCTCCTCTCTTCACTTAGAATTTGCTCACCAACTTGACCATGTTTATTATTCTGAATGATAACAAGACCATGTGGCATTTCTCATACACAAAACAGTGAGGAAAATAAACTGCCCACTCCTTTCAGCCTCTTTATGAAGCTGGGATGTGGGATACATACATACACACACACACACACACACACACACACACACACACACACACACACACTCAGAGTTACCGAGTTGGAGGGCCTTCACAGCTCAAGTTCATAGCTGAATGGTAATCCTCTTTACAGTATTCTAAACAAGTAATTATCTAGCCTTTACTTAAAAGATTCTCCTATTTCTTTTGCTTAAGAGAAAACAAGAGAGAAAGGACCATTTGAGCCATTTAACTCTTTCAGAGAGATGCCCTTTGTGGGACAAACTTTGGAATGAGAGAGTTTAAAAAGGTTGAATATAACTGACTCACAGAAAATGTCAATTAATGATATTTTTTTGAAAAAACTATATTTTGCACTTTTACCAGACGTATGCGTGTATACATATATATGCATATTTTTGAAGGCAGCTAGATAGTACAATGGACAGAGTGCTGGACCTAGAGTCAGTCAATAAATATTTATTAAATACTTACTATGTGCCAGGCACTATGCTACGTGCTGAGTTCAGATCTGGCATCCAATATCTACAAGCTATGGGAACCCTGGGTAAGTCACTTGATCTATATCTGCTTCAGTTTCCTCATCTGTAAGATGTGAATGATAATAGCACCTACCTCCTAGGGTTGTTGTGAGGATAAGACGAGATCATATTTGTAAAGTGCTTTGCAAACCTTAAAGTACTATATAAATGCTGGTTAATTGTCATTATTATTATTATTATTATATGATACATTGCATGAATAGTTTCTTTTTTATGTGTGGTCCTTAATTGTGCCAAATAAACCAAAAATTTCCTAATCCAGGCCTTATCTTTTTAGACAGCAAGATTAAGCTTTTAGAATTAATAAAGCAAAACAAAAAGGAAAGAGCGGAGAGGAGATTTAGCATCAGAAATTAGGTACATGGTAGTAATCTTTGGATGATCACTGCAACAGTAAACTGAAACTGCAAAGACTTAGCCAAAAGCCATGTTATGATCTTTTTTTAGCAAAAGCTAGAAGCACTGGTCCTATAATGGTTGAGGGAGACACCTCCAAATAGCATCCATCTGGTGAATTAACTAGGGGGTTATCTAAATCACTAGGCAAATGTTTACGAAGTCTGAACAAGGTTTAACCCAGGTAAGTGGTCAGATTCACAGGTATGCCAGTGTCCACTAAATAAATCTTAATCCTTTCCTAGTCCTAGGCCTATGCATTCATACATAACCCTGGGTTATCAGCTACAAGGTGGGATTCAGGATAGTTTCATATACAAGGCTGATGTAGGAATATAAGGATAGTTTGGTACTATGGTTTATTTTTTGGCACCTGCCTGGCCATGATTTATAGACCAGATTGTGATCATAGAATCATAGAGCAAAAAATGATCTTAGCTATTATCTAGTCTACACCCATCTTTTTATAGAAGAGAAAACTGAGATTCAGTAAGCTTTAAGTGACTGCTCCAAAGTTCCCTAAGGTAAATCAGTGGGCTGGGTCCAGCTCTGATTTTCACTACTTTAAACTTTGGCTTCTGTTCAGTCATTTCAGTATGTCCAACTGTTCCTGACCCTCTTTGGGGTTTTCTTGACACAGATACTGGAGCGGCTTGCCATTTTCTTCTCCAGCTCAATTTACAGATGAAGAAATTGAGGCCAACAGGGTAAAGTGATTTGCCCAGGGTCACACAGTTAGTGTCTGAGGCCAGATTTGAACTCAAGAAGATGAGTCTTCCTGACTCTAAGCCCAGCACTCTATCCACCGTGCCACCTACATGCCTGGAGAAAAAAACCTTGACTAAGACTATGGCTAAAAAGTAAATGAGACATGGCCAAAGTACTGTGAGTTTCTCACAATAATCCTGACAAATATTAAAATTTACTCCCTGAAGACTTGTTACTTGGAAACTAAAAAAAAAAATCTTCAGATTGTCAAGTTAACTTTGCTTTCCTTTCATTCTCTTCTTCTCTATCCTAAAGCACACTAAGAATGTAAACGGCACCATGGGAGTCCCTCAAATCCATCAAAAGAAGCCATGAAGGTAAAAGAAAGGACCACTTCATCCACTCTCCCTCAGTGATCCATACTGCCACCATCTGGAAAGTTAGAAGAATTCCCATGGTGGTCCAAAGTATCTTTCTTCTTTGCTTGTGCTGTCCTTCTAAATTCAATGATTTGATTTTCTGGCTTCTGATTTCAATGTAATCTCTTTATGATTTGTAAGGGATCTATGAGTCATGAGTAACAGAAAACGTATAGGGGTAGACAAACCAAGAAGAAAAGTAGCCAGTGACCTGACTTTCTCCCAAGGACTATATTGTCTTCTACCAATCTGCCTTCCCAACATTACCTACTTAGCAGAGGCAGAAGTGTGTCTCCAAGTTCAGCATGTATTTTTTTTAGGTATAAAAGTTTGGTTCAATCAAAAGAGCCTGGAGAGAAACATCACATGGTACTCTAATTCTTTGCTAAACATATTAAAGAGAAAACCAGTACCTACAATACTTTTTTAAAAACCAAGACAACCCAAACACCTAGAGTGCTTATGATATGAAAGGATCATTGTGGGAAGAAGGAAAGGTGAGAAGAGAGAGAAGAAGGCAAGAGAAGAAAGGAAGGATAAGAATGGAAGGAAAACCTACACTTTTTTTCTCTCCAAAGATAGGATATTGAACACCAAAAAAGTATAAATTTTGGGTGACATGTCAGAACAAACAAACCTTCCTGTTTTGAAAAAATACTGATACCTGTACAATAGGGTGTCCTCCTGCAGATGCCTTCACAGCCCCTCGACTTCCTTCAGTCTCGTAATGAGCTCTGTGGTGGGATTTGGGCTGTACTTCAATCCTAAGTTCATAAGGTCCTGAGTGAGATGGCAGCTGCCAATCAAGGGCAGGCAGAGATGGGCTGAAATGGAAGACAAAAGAGCATTAAATATTAATGACTAGTGTATTAACACAAACCACAAGTATCTGAATCTATTACTTTGGGGGCCAGGATTAGCAGTCCATCCTTCACCATCTTACATTAAAAATTTCCATCAATAAGGATAATGTCCTGACATAAGTAATTTAAAAGTCTTTGTAAAAAGCCAATGGCTACTTTAGGATGATGTATGGGGAAAGCCTTGTCAATGCTTCAATCTCTATAAGGTTTTTAAATAAAATGGAAACATTTCTAAATCCAGCCTTAAAGTGTTTCACTCTCTTGATACTAGATTTACATCAATTATTTAACCTCAAAATAAAAATCAATTCTAGAATGGCATGTAGACAGTTTTAAAACCAAAGAAGTACAACCTTTGGGCTGAGTAAGGAGAACTATATTCTAGTCCTGATTCTATCAATAATTAGCTGAATAATCCTAGATAGGTCATTTAATCTCTATGGCCTCAGTTTCTTCATCTGCAAAATTAGCGTATTGGACTTTATTAAAGGTTCTTAACCTGGGGTCCAAGAACTTTAAAAAAAAAGTGTTTGATAACTGTAGCTCAACATAATTGGTTTCCTTTGCAATCCTGTGTATTTTATGTACTTAAAATGTTATTCTGAGAGGAGATCTATAGATTTCATCACACTGTCAAAGAGGACCATCATGCAAAAGAGGTTAAGAATCCCTGGACTAAATGGTCTCTAAGGTACCTTGCTAAATTTCTGATTCCATAGAAGAATGATTAAGAATGAAAAAGAACAATTTAAAGAAGTTTTTAATTGCAGTTCACAAATCAGGATGAGCAAGATACACATTTAGCTGTTACACACATTTAATGAGCAAATTCCTAATTCCTATGCTCCAGCATGTTTTTGTTATCCTTTTATTTAAAAAGAAAAACTACATCAAAAATTACATGCCTTTACAGACAAAAAAAATTCTCTGAATATCATGTTGGTATTTTTCTGCTAAACCCTCTCTGTGTGGAAGGATTAGCCATGATCTTATTGGTAACAAATGAAAAAAGCAAAGAAGATGATGCAATCTCAACTGAATTCTCAAGTCCCTTCCTGACTCCAATACACATCAATCTTTCATCAACACATCTTCCTGTCCTGAAATCTACATCTGGAGAAGAACCAAAAGTTGAATGGAAGATCAACTCATACTTTGATCTCCCAAAAACCTAGGATGGTGGTATCTATGAAAGCAGTTGTCATTGACACACACACTTTGGAGTTGGGACCGGGGGAGAGGTATGATTAGCATTTGGCCTGCTCTTGTCAACATTGCAGAGGTGGTAACCTGAGTATGGGGTTGCCTTTTTATGACTAAGTTTCTATTAGTTTAATTTCCTTTCTTCTTCAAATCTCATTTTGCCTTCAAGTCTTATAAAGGGAGGTTTAAAAAAAAAAAAAAAGAGTTGCACCCTTTAAGCCCTATGTAAATATTAGCTGTTAAAATAATAGGTTCTGTTGGGCCACCACAGGCACCTTACTCTGCCTCCCAGGAGTTAGACAGAACACTGAGTAAGACTGAAAATAAGTCTGCACAACTGCAGAAGAAATACAATTGGCTGAGAAAGCTGGTCAATCCAGGTCATACTGGTTCATAAAGATTATTCCATGAAAAGCATGAACTGATACTTCTTCACATTCACAGAGCCATGAGGATCGACCATAAGAAAACAGAACAAGAAAATTTTTTATTCTTTTCCATTTCTGCTGCACTTTCATAACCTGGCCTTACAGAATCTCTTAGTTAATTAGAATCCACCAATACGACTACAGAGCCAAAAACATGAATTTGATTCCCCAAGTAGCAACAATGAAGGAATAACCACTTGGAAAAAATTAATTCTTCCAAACAGAAGAGTCAGTCAGTCAACAAGTATCTATTAAGCACTTACTTAAGGAGTAAGGCACTGTGCTAAGCACAAGGCATACAAAGAAAAGCAAAAATAATCTCTGTCCTCAACAAACTTATATTCTAATGAGAGAAACAACATGTAAATAACTAGGTACTAACGAGACATACATGGCAGATGGAGATCAGGTGTTTGGGCTGAGAGAATTAGGAAAGACCTCCTGAAGAAGGTTGTGTTTGAGCTATCTTGAAGAAAGGGAGGAAAACTGAGAGATGGCTGGAGGTGAGGAGTGAAAACATTCCAGGCTTAGGGAATCAGACTATGAGTGTGTAAGTCAAGAACTAGAAGATGTGGTATTGTATGAGGAACAGTAAATAGACCAGTGTAGGTGGATAACAGAATACGCAGGGGAGAGAAGAATATAAGAAACCTTGGAAGGAAGAACAGGGTCATGTTGTGAAGGGCTTCAAATGCCAAACATAACATTTCATATTTTATTCTAAAGGTAATAAGGAGCCAACTAGAGTTTGAATATGAGTAGGGGGTTAGGGAGAGGGGAGTAACATGGTCAGACCTGTGCTTTAGGAACATCAGCTTTAGCTACTAAGTGGAGGATGGATCTGTGTGGAGAGAGCCTTGAGGCCAAGAAGCTATTTGGGATCCAAAATATATCAAATCAGACAAGTATCTCACTCCACATTATGGTGCACATTGCCATCTCCATGCTCTTGATTCACACCGAATTCCTTATTGCACTGAAGTCAGTACCACACAATTTATATTATCACTCCCCTCCTCATAAACTTCCATGCTGTCTAGATAATAATATCCAATTGCCTTCCAATATTATCCCAATATATTTTTCCTGCTTTTCTTCTCACTAGTCCCCCACTATATGTATTCTATCCTATTACCTCAATACACCATGTATTCTGGTGCCTCTAGGTCTTTGCTTATACTATTCCCTCTGTCATAAATGTCCTCCTTCCCTCTTTCCCTAAATCTACTAGTAAAACGCTACCTTACCCATCCTTCAAGGTTCAGTACAAATGCCATATCCTTCATTAAGCTTCCCCTGAGCCCCCTCAACTATATACAAAACCCCCTTTTCTAAAATCCTGTAATACTTTTCATACCTATGATGTAGCATGTTTTACCTTATGCTAGAATTACTCCCTCTACTATTTGAATTTGCTCCTTTAGGGCAGAAATTGTGACTTAGTTATCTTCATATCTCTCTACTACCTAGAACAATGACTTGCATATAGCTGACACTTTATATATTTGTCTATCTGAATGGAATCATATTGCATTGAATTCTAATTATTTCACTCAGGTTTTGTTTCACTGAATACATTGTAAACTCCTTGAGGTCGGGTTCTATGTCTTAGACTTTATGTGTATCCTCACAATATTTAATATCTAATACCATTCTGGGAACATAGTAGGCACTCAATGAGTAGCTACAGAGTCACCGACTAATGTCTGTATGCTGGAGAAGGAAATGGCAAACCACTCCAGTATCCTCGCCAAGGAAAGCGCAAATGGGGTCATAAAGAGTTGAACACAATTGAAAAGTGACTGAACAACATCAAAATCTGTATGCCTGAAAAGTTGTGTTTAAAACAAGGATTTGGATCAAAACAAACCGTAAGCATTAAAAAAAGAACACCAACTTATTTAACTCTGAATCAAACCTAAATAATACTTTTTTACTAAACAGTAAATAGCACCAAACATTGTTTGTTGTTGCTGTTGTTGTTTAAAGAAAAAAAAATAGTTCAACCAAACACCCAATTATTGTTTTAACCTACCTGACATGTCATTCACTTCCCATCTCTGGTGTACTTGAATTTATGTAAATTGAATCCTATTTTAATTGCACTGAGGAAGTTCCACTAAGTAAAGTTAACCTGAAAGTTAACACCTTTACAAATCTGGAGTCTCATTTACAGTACAGAGATTCCTTAGAGCACAGCACACCTGTGTAGCCATGAAAGCTTATTTTAAGGAGTGGATGCTATTTCTCCAATAAGCTATTTCCATAGCACTCCTGCACTGCATCCTGGAAAAGACTATAGAAATGGTGGGTTTCATAGACTGTATTCATTTAGAATATCTGAAAAAATGAATAGAGCTTGGAGGTAATTCCTAAACTTGTGGCATCCATTTGACACACTTGTTAATGCAATTACACTGCAAAGATTCTTTTAGGAAAATCAGCACTGTGCCTAGGTGCTAAGGCGTTGTCTCTACTATGTACTAACAAATATATAAAATATATAAAAACAAAACGTCAGCCAAGCAATCGTTTGCTGTTATGTAGCCCAAAAAGCTGATTGGCTAATTGGATTTTTCCACTTTTGAGCTGGCCATTTGGGGCTTGTAGAAACACAGCTTGAGCATCCTTTGCTGTGATTACTGAGGTATAAAGTTTGTTCTTCACAATCTTAGAATGAAATAAAAAGATCAAGATGATCAGACTCTGTCTGCAAATCACAGGATTATGAGGTTTGGGTACAAAAGAAGTCATATATTCAGAATATATAAACATATTTGTATAGCCAGGATTATGAAATCCTAATGTGGGTGCCTGCCAAATCTGACTGAAGTCAGCCCTGAGAAATCAAGAGTGAGCTTCATTTTATAAAAGAAAAGTACTTATAGTTTTTTTTTCCTTGGGATTGAGTGTGTTTTTTTAAACAGATGTTTTCCTTTTATTCCTGGATCTAGTCTTCTCTACTCTAAATAAGATAGTATCAGATTAAAATGCTTTCATACCAATAGCCCAGCTGTGCACTCTTTGCTTTTAACTGTGACTTACTGATTTCTAAGGGAACATCCTCATGCTAAACGACTGAAGGATCAAGCTTTTAGTGAAATAAAATGTTTTAATTTACACTTGTAAATAGTTCTTTAGGAACTATGTTTTTCATCAAAAAAAAAAAAGAATAAAAGTGAATAGGGCCAACAGATTATCTCATCTAGTTTTAAAATTTTTAGGTAAAATCTACACAAAGGCCACCATCCAGAAAATGAGGCAATTACCTAGCTGGGTTTTTTTTTAGCTGTGTAAACACAACTTAAGTAAACAATTTAAAAGTATATT